TACCCACTGAAGATGGCTCAATGCGGAGCCGAAACGTTTGGGTGACAATGAATATTGTTTAAATATATGTAATTTTAGCACTAATTGCGTGCAAGGCTCACTTGCCCTTCTTTGGATACTTCTTAATTAGTAAAAAGAAACCCTATAGAAAGAAAATGAAAATTGAGATAATCATAGAAATTTCATGATTACTTTTCTTATACAAATATTTTAAACTATATTCCAATTTAAAGATCTCAAAATTGTTATCTAATCAAAATTATCTAATCTTTGAAATCTAATTTTTACATGTCAACATGCATGTAATATTGCATACCTATCAATTAAGTATATATATATTTGATATGTTAATAAAGCAGTTTTATCTTCAATAGCTAATTTCTTTCACAACACGCATTATATTTGATCTCTTGATCGCTGTGAGAACTACCAGTTATGATAAGTGAGTACAAATATAACATAAAATATTTTTATACGTAAAAATATTAATTAATGATAAAACCGATTTATTTTTTAATTCAAGTAAAAATACTAAAGAAATGCCTAATTTTATTCATGATCATATAAACCATAACTGATGTAAATGCATCCTAAGAAATAAAAACTTATTTTATTAAATTTATATGTGTTTTAGTCTTTAATTTATTATTATTAGGGATCTCAGAACAGTGCAGACCTCATAAGAGATCCCGAGGCACTTAATCATCATTTGATCCTCATAATAAAAAAGGAAAAAAGAAAAGAAAAAAAGAAAAGGAAAATATACGCATTTACGTATAAACGTCAAACGCGACGCGTATAATATTTTATGCGATAAAATAATATAATTTTATTTATATTACGCAAAATTTATTAACTGTGTGTTATTTGTTATAAATACATTTGATGAATGAAGCAAAAAAATTTTTTTGAAATATAAATATTATAAAAAAAGACCCCGTCCGAAAAGAAAATGAAAATAGTTATATCCAGAAAATGAAAACTGCTTGAAGTTTGGAACATTCCTGGAACGATTTTTTGAAAATAATTTGTCCCATTTCTAGCTTGGCATAGAGTAAAGTACCACAAACACAATACAAAATATTTCGCAATACACGCATCGAAAGACACTCTTATGCTCGATAAACCATCCTCTCAGTTATTTAAAAATTCTAGCTACACTAAAAATAATTTGTCTCATTTCTACTTTTGCTAATGTTACTTCTAAGTGCCAGACACAAAATAAAAAACATTCCGATCAAATACACACGTCGCTGTAACTAGAATTTTTAACTATATTTCGATTAAAATGATGCTTTAGCGATCAAAATTATTATCTAATCAAAATTATCTAATCTTCACAAAATCTGATTTTAAACTATAATAACAATATTTTATTGTGCGATACTGCGTTGAGAAAAATTTAGAAAAGCGTCATGAGCACGTGATTTATATCTTCGTTGCAACTACTTGAGGAACATTTATAAACCTATCAATGCATTTATTCGCTTTAAATAAAGGCAAGTAATCAAGAATCAAAGATGCGTGCGTTCATTTGTTTTATTCTTATTGCTCTGGCAAGCATCACTGAAGGTACGAATTTATAAATATAATTTTAGCGTAATAGGGAGAGGAAAAGGGGGAGAGAGAGAGAGAGAGAGAGAGAGAGAATAACATTTCTTTCTAATAAATTCATTATGACACAATTATTTTCCAATATAAAGTTCTTAATAATAATTTGAATTTCCGCTGTATGATATTTATTTTGTAAATATTGCTATATATACTATATTTATTAAAAAGAAAGTTTTCATCTATTATGTTATTTTTAGGATTTATTTTGTCAAACGCTCATTTTTTCATATCTTACAAAAAAGTAAATTATTGCTAAATTCGAAACCGTATTATAAAAATTTGTATTATTTGATAGAGGACACATTCTATTTTGTATTTATATTTCCTAAATTTTATTTTTTAGCTTTTGATTTAGAAAATGTAGTCTAAAAACAAAGTAGTATGACAGTATCAGTGACCTTCCTCTAACTTTTTTGAAAAGCTTATTTAGCCATAGAGTCGACGTAAAGTTTAATTGTTATTATTAATAGCGTATGTATACAATAACGTAACATTACATTGCACGTATATTAACATGATTAATTTATTTTTGTCAATAAGGAGCTTTATCTCCTTATGGTATCAAAGGCGGTCGAAATGCTCCCATCGACAAATTTCCGTATCAAGTGTCATTGAGATTAAACAACACATACCTATGCAGCGGATCTATCCTTGATAATTTTAATGTGTTAACAACAGCAAATTGTATTGTCGGAAGAGGGTATGTTAAACATTCTCAAAATATATTAATATATTATTAGTAGAATTTAATTGTAAAATTAGTCTTTTAACACGTCAATCGGATGAAATATATTACCCAGTAGGCAAATTGTGCCAGCAATACGATAACAGATTGGCAGCAGATTTGCGCAGATATTGTAACAGTGTCATCGGTGTACACATTAAACTCGCGTTTTGCTGGCGGATTCTGCCTGTGTAATCCAACAAACTACTATCGGCAGAAATTGAACATAAAGTCTATCATTTCGTAAATATTTAAACGGAATACGTTATTTAAAACTTTTAAATTATAGCCATAGCAGATTCTGTTTAATCTTTGCAGTCAATTTAACGTGCCATGTTTCATTATCAGATTCTGTTAGGTATATTTCTACTGGTTTTCTATGCATTCAAAATATATACCCATTAAACATTTTGACCATTACGTTGTTGAAATGTCATACTAATATCTCGGCGACAGCAAATGTCCTGACTCTACGACGGTTCAAAGAACGTTTTGTTTGTGAGATTTTTGCAACGTAACAGGAATGTGCCATTATGCGAAATCGATTGCTACGTTAATAATACGTTATAATAACGTTACAAATAAAACATTTTTCTGGAACGTCCTAAAGACAGAACATTTAATGTTACCAAGATGTTAGCATGACGTTTCGACAATGTAATGGTCAAAATGTTTAGTGGGGAGCAGATACTTTCAAAATCTTTTCTTGACAGATATGAGTTCTTATCTAATTTTTTATTATTAGAATGCAATGTAATAAAGAATTAAAGGTCCATGTCGGCACAAATAATTTGGACGCGCCAGGATATGTTTATGACATAACCACTATTACTGTCCACTCAAATTATGACACTAAATTATACAATAATGACATCGCCTTGGTTCACCTTAAATATTCTATCACATACAATAAGCTAGTGCAGCCAGTTAAACTTCCGACATCCAACGAAGGTCTCGAGGGTCAGCCGTGTACATTATCTGGATGGGGATCTTCGGTAATATCAAACTCAAGAGGTCTTTACAATTACACACATTCAAAAATGAAACATCTTTTAGAGAAATTTATTATTTCCCTTATATATATATATATATATATAT